TATATATATATATATATATATACAGAAAATTCAATAATAATATCAATATTCACGAGAGTTCCAAAGGCGGTCCATTGAAAAGCGATAGTATTTGGTTGAAGGTTGTAGTGAAAGCTGCAGAGAAAGATAGATGGCAAATTTTTGTTATAAGGTTGAAGGAAGTTTGGTTTTGTAACGAATTAATTAACATAGATGCATATTGCTTCAAATATATCTAATTAATGGTACATGCAAAGACGATGGGAAAAATAGTGTAGGCAATTTAAACGAAATTAAATACCCAGATACCCAGCTTCCTTTCTGAATTAATCAATTTTACCGCTTTATATGTTGTATATTCTTAAGAGATATGATCAATTAATTAACTTTTTCAACGACATCTCCCACAAATGAAACTTTGAAATGACTTCTATCTGGAGTATTCGGCCTGAACAAGTGTCAATTTTTTTTATTGACTTTCAACTTCAAGAGGGATGAACAAATAATTCCAATATATCTTTCACCACAATATTAACGCAGAGTGCTTTGTACATGTAAATGGCCATTGTTCAAACTATCTTAATCCAACCCTACACTGAACTTTTGAGCTTCTAAGCTCTGCCGGCCATTCGTAATCTTCTCGAGATCTCCACAAAGAGCCGATGATGCCCTTACCCTGAGCGGTTTAGTGTTGGGGGCCAGCTGCTTCACCACCAGACACTTCCCTTGGGTGTATGCGATGGCCTGGCTGTCCGGCGACCACGATGCCCCTCAAATTTCATAGTATAATAAGTTCTTATTCTTGTGATAAGAGAAGATGAATAATCCAAAGAAAAGTTAATTGAATGGCCGATACTTGATGAAAATCCATATTCAAACTGATAAATACAGTTTATTATATGATTTTCACTATACAGGGTTTTACAAAACCCGCGACACGTGTTTTGCTAAACAATAGCTTTCTCAAGCATAAACTAAAAGTTACTTCCAAATTACAACCATTTTATACTCTAAGCGATCAAGTATATCATCTATATCAATAAATTGTTGCAGAAATGCCGAAATTGTTATCTGCCACCCCTCAATGATTCTCTTGTAATATTACAGTTAATTTACTGAAAAATATTTACATTTCTTTCAGAAAATTAGTTTATTTTGATGTTCTGAAAAAAGTTTTACTGAAATATTTGACATCGCCAAATCGATTTGAATTCAAAATATCAAAAGCTTTATCCATTTTTTCAATGATTGTAGCCGCCCAATTGCTGCTGATGGTATCTGATTGAAACTGGCATAAGTATTCATCGCTGAAGCTACCAGATGGCTGAAAAGTTGATTGGCTAATTTAACCTTTATCCTTTGAAATTTAGTTGAAAATGAATGAGAATCAGTAAGTTTGGGTGCTAGTCTACATTGATTTTCCTTATCAAAGTTGTTAAGTTGTCCAAGATGACTTTTGTTTGTCGTAAATTCATCAAATTTCAAAAAGTCATCGAAAAAATGGTTTCTGCTACATTTCAGCATATGAGAATATCAAAAAAGTAAAATATTTTTTTCTCATCAACAAAGAAATATGGCTACTCTACAGTCACTTTGGCATCTTATCTGGCAAGTGTATAACAATTAAAACCTAAATCTGAAATGATACCCCTAACTCTTAATCCAATTTTTGATAATTGCCTAACAGCTTCAATCAGAATACTTTTTATATCCAGTATTGATTTGGGTGAATTAGTAAAAAAGTTTGCAACATTAGGCCCAAAAAAGGTTATTTGCATATACATTTGATACTTTTGTTTTGCAGAGATTTCAGTTGAAGTAATATTTTTCTTACAGATACATACTAGCCAAATGAAAACATGCGGTTCAACAATTATTTTCCTTTGTGGATTCCCAGTGGAACTCGCATTGTTATGTTTTGAGGCATATACTATTCGTAAACTTTAATTTCATAAAAAAGTCTGCATACATTTGGTCTATAACAATTTATTTTATGATTTTCGTTACATGTTCATTCCTTCAATCTTACATCATGAATACTAGAAAAACATACATTTTTTCGTCAATTGGAAATCGAAAAAAATTATTGCCCACATCACCCTGCAAATTACAGCAACCCCCAGCTAGACACTAGTTCATTTTGAAACTAGACACGAATTTTTCACAAATACAAAACCACCACTTACAAAGACTCACTCTGTAATAATATTCCATGCCTCAATTTGGCTCGCTTGGTACACTCATGAGATTCAGTCGATTGCGCACTAGGTTCGCTGAGCATAAAATTCGAGGTGGAGAATCTTGACCCAAATATGGCGGAGAGTGAACTTACTTGTCTTTACTTCTATACGGTGATAATACTAACCGGTATAGTTAGGTGATACTGATAGGTAGTAGCATATATAGCATATAGCACTAGCATATATAAAAATACTAACATATTAGTAAAATTCAGTCATAATGATCTCCTGAGGATCTAAAAAATACTTATCGATCAGATATGTAGAAATATAATTTACTTGGGGTCAAAGGTCACCAAAAAGGGGGTTTTCGCGACTTTCAACAAAACAGTAAGTTTTATCATAATATTATTTTATCTATGATGATTATGTATCAAAAAAGGATTTAATGAATTAAAGAAGAAAGTTATACAAATCATGATATCATGAAACAACAAAAATTAATTGGCGCTCCGGGCGACTTCATTGATTCCAGTGACTCAGTTGCTTTTTCATCTGCAGGAAAACCCGGAAAAACCTGCAGCACCACATTATCTGAAGATCTTGATTTGCAAATGTCCTCTCTGTCGTAAAATGTAGGGTATTTTCAGAGGCTCCAATAAATTCAAGATATCGCCAGAACACTTAGTGACACGACTACCGTCAAATTTAAACCAGTCTATTTCGTCATTGATCAATGCGTAATGAAGATTATAATAGTGGTCTGCTAGATTGAAGTTTTTATCTATTTACAAAAAATGTCTCAATAGTTTTTTCCTAAGAGCCACAGTTTCTGGAATAGAACGATTTAGAAAATTGGAAGAGTTGTAATGGTAATAATATGCACAATGCATACGTACCAAGCCACCTTTGAGGTAGAGTAGTAATTTGAGGTATGATAGATGAAAGCGCTGTAAATTAAAAAAATGTTCTTCTTCCTCATCCTGGGTATATGTAAATTGCATCAATAGTTGAACATCGCATGTCTCCTCGTTGGTTTCAAACGAATCCTCAACTGTTGGTGATTCAATATTAGGAGCATGACCGGTCTTGACAATTTTTACATTGCTAGAGAACAAAACAGACTATTTTTTTGAAACAACATTCAGCACTACATATCTTTTTACAGTTGCAAAAAATTGTGTTTAGCAGTTTTTCCGGCGCAGGTGGAAGAAAAGTCTGAACAGGTTCTAATGTATTATCAACCAAATTCCCCAGCCCCAGCCTTTTGGGTCTAGCTGATAACCAAGCCACACTTGAACTTGATAATATACCCGTTGAAGATGTTGATGAGCAGCCGCTGAGATTGGAGAAAAAATCAAGCATAATTGCACTTGTTTTTTGATTTTTATTTCTAGTGTTTTTAATGAAACATGCACATCTATGTATAGTATAGTGGATAAATTAATTAGCGAATGTGAATCAAGGAAAAATATTCGTACATCCATGACTTTTCGAAAAGAAATCGATTTAAACTGTGTTTCCCTTTCGAATTGAACAAGGTACACTAACAGATTAGATTTCATTTCTGAAAAGTTGAACGTGAAACTAGCCCCCGAAACTTCTTGCTTACTTCAACAAATAATAATAATAATTCGATTTTTTTATCTCCAATAGTGAGTTACTAACAGTTAACACTAAAAAAAGGTTGGATGTTAATAAGAAGTTGGGGATTTATGAAATAATTTGTGAAGACTGGTCAAAAAATATATTGGTTAGACTAAGAGAGTTATTCAAACTCGTTTTAAAGAAGGAGCTGCACATATCCGATTTCGAAGACCAGAAAAATCTAGTATCGCCTATAGTATCGCGTATAGATACAGTTATCCAGTATCTATACGCCTTGATAAACGGTCATAAAATGAATGTGAATTGACTGAAATTGTTAAGATCAGTACATGACACTAAATATTTGGATGCTAAAAATAGTGTGTGGCAAGAGACCTATGAACGGTGACAAAAGTCCCATCTAAAACAGCAACTTTATATGAATCGCTCTGTTGAAATCGATGCAAACTTTCACGGGAGAAGTTCCCCAAAATTCCTTCCCACAATAATTGATGTGTGTCTGAAAGTGGAAGTTGAAAAGTACCCTGTTGGATATAAATAGATACCAGTTCAGTCTCAAAAATCAGTCTACTTCATCTTGGCCAACCAACCGAACAGCTGATTGACCTGCCAAATTGAAAATTCTTATTTGGACGCCATCTACAGAAGTTTGTAGAAATACTGTATTCCTTTTCAACACTTGTCACAGTAGACCAATATTGTTACACCGGGATAGGAGACACTTCCAGAATACCAATAAAACGAAAAATACGGTTTACTTGAGAGTTTCAATAGGGTTTTGCATCCCCAACTTTGAAATGATTAGATAAACAAAACAAATTTTTAATTAATGTTGAAATTAAAGACTCCTCTGTTTCTTGAGATCCGGGATTCCAGCAGTCTTCAGTAGTAGTCACCTCAGACCTTTCTCAGTACACCCAGATCCATCCACGACGATATCCTCCTTGTGTCCAATTCATTATTGTTTTTATGCTTTAAGTGGTTCTTATACTTATATAATCGTATGCCCTGCACGATTTTTTATGATCCTAAGGTCTCTATGATTTTGATCATTTCACGACGTTTGTGCCTTTTTTCGATCTACGATTCAACAATTCACAATTATTGATTCATCAAATATAGATTTTGCCTGGCAGAACTATGGTACGAAAAATAACTATTGTAAAAAAATCCTGATGATTCTACGATTTAGTTTCAATCAATAAATTTAAAATATAATTTTATATAATCCACTTTCAGATTCATATCTACAAATATCTTAGAAATTTGAAGTTATTCTGATGGATGATTATCAAAAATTTTCATTTAAATTGAAGTCAGGCACAGAAAAAACTCTTTCAAAGCCCACCGATTCTGAGAATGACATTAATGTGTGTCTCAATTCTCACTTTAAGATACAGTGCAACTACACTATAAAAATAAAGTCTATGACTGAACAAACGAAGGACAGAACTAGTTGAAGTCTACTTGTATATCTAACCATATCATGAATGAACTTAATCAAAATAGGTGTCAGCATTCTGATTTTCATGTATTTGAAGTGCTACTGTAGACTGCTTAGAAGAATCCCAGAGCTGTGAAAAAATTAAATAGAAATTTAAATAATTGGTGTGTTACCATCCACAAGTTAAAATTGGCTAAAAGGGCTGATTTGTGTTCAGATTGTTTCGCAAACAATATAAAATGTAAAGTGGAAAAATGGAATGTTACAATAGAAACACATGATATGAATACAATGATTTACAGGTGACGCCTATTCCATCAAAATATCTAGTGAGTAGAGAGGTGTATATCTTTTTTCACGAAGTGGAGATCAATATGTAGCCCCTTTGAGTATACCCAAAACCAAAGCAAAAATTTAAGAGGCTATTCATTATTATTTATGTTTTTGATTTTCTTTTCTTCCAAACGGTCATGTGAAACCGTGAATCAAGCCGAGAGGGGAACGGTCAATTTTCCCTGTTTATCGTCTAAGCAGTGCT